GGTCACTTACTATTTGGATGTAAATGGACACCAACTATTTGAAAACACGCTTCAACTCTCCAACCCCTAAAAACACCCCTGGCACATAGAATTTGTCAAGGATCTCTCTCTTAATTATAGCCCTGCAAAAGTCTGGGCTGGCTTATTAATAAGAAAAATTACATTACCTTACTCTTGCCCTTTGACTGAATACTGAGTGCAAGGATTGTGTTGCATTGTGAAATAATCTTCACTAATGCATAATTAATACACAATGATTTAATTTGACAGCTTTGATTCCACTCCCTCTCCACCGATGAGCCAAAATTTACATTTTTATTAGAAAAGCACGGATTCCATTCTGGAAAAGGCAGTTGGAAATTTTCCATTGATATTTGTTTGCTTGTTTGAGAGCCCATTCCACCAGAGAGGCTAGCTTCCAATTCTTTCTGAAAGGAAGAGGGATTGCTTGTCTGGAGGATGAGAATGTGAAGGACTTTTGCAGTCTTTCAGAACTTTTCTGATTCATGAGGGTATTACATGAAGAAAGAGAATCAGGAGCACAGTTGACTAATACCATCCATAGTTTTCTACAAGCAACCAAGATTACTTGTGACAGTCAAAGTAGCAACAAGTCAGGGATTTCCTGCATGTGCCCCCCCCCCCAAAATAGCGCAGAACACCCTTTTTCACAAAAGAAGATAACCCCACTGACACAGAAAAAGTGGTTGTTTTGCTTGTATTATACATATTACATAACAGTATGACTGACAAGCAGAAATTACGGTGATATTTGCAGAACTGAAAGAATTCCAAAGTTTATTTTAAGAAAACTCAGGTGTCTGAACCTCATTGTTATAGTATAAATACTAAGAGTTTAATGAAAGCTTAGATATCGGATGAAGAGTTTACAGAGCTCTAAGAGGTCAGGGAAGAAAGACGCGTCATTCCACTTGCTCCAATTTTCTATATATTTTTTCCTTTCAGTCAACAATATCACCGTAATAATAATTCCAAAGCTCATATTTTACAAATTAAAACATTGGTTTTAATTTTATTTGAAACAGAGTGTTCTGAAGCTTTCAGTACAGATACAGTGTCCAGATTCACACGGAACACTAACCCTAAACATGACTTGGTGCACTCATGCAAGCAACTAAGGGGGTTCCCAGACCAAAGGTTGCAGTCACTGCACGCCTTTCCCTGGTTCTACTGCTGCCATGCTACCTGGGGCTAAGGCATAAATCTTTGTACGGGGAACCTGCACATGTGCTCCTTTGCACTTTCTCCCTGGCGGACCCAGGATCACTCAGAGAGCTTTAGACACTGATGCAGCTCCATATAAAACATCTAAACTTGAGATGGGACTCCGTTTGCTATGATATGCTTCCATACTGCTGTTTTACCGGTTTTAGGTTACTACTACTACAACTTTTTTTATTATTAATACCCCGCCATCTGACTGGGTTTCCCTAGCCACTCAGGGCAGCTCCTAACAGAATATTAACAACATGATAAAACATCAAACATTAAAAACATTCCTAAACAGGGCTGCCTTCAGATGTCTTCTAAAAGTCAGATAGTTGTTTATTTCCTTGACATCTGGTGGGAGGGCGTTCCACAGGGTGGGCGCCACTACCGAGAAGGCCCACTGCCTGGTTCCCTGTAACCTCACTTCTCACAGTGAGGGACCCGCCAGAAGGCCCTCGGCGCTGGACCTCAGTGTCCGGGCAGAACGATGGAGTGCAGACGCTCCTTCAGGTATACAGGGCTGAGGCTGTTTAGGGCTTTATAGGTCAGCACCAACACTTTGATTTGTGTTGCATTTTTTTTTTTTTTAATTCTACTGTTTTCTATATTGTACACTCCTTAGCTGCTTTTAAAAATATTATGCTGTTTGTAAAGGCTTTAAAAGAAATAAACTGGTTTGCCAAAGAATTAATGAGGAGCATTGATTGGCTTCATCAGGACAAGGGGATAAGAACCACTGGTTCACAAGCATTCATTCCTCTTCTCTACTCTGAAAAGCAGCCATTGTCCCTGAAATAAGCTAAAATGGGGCTGGCTTCTACTTCTAGCAGCTTTTAGTCTGTGGAATAATCCACATCCTTTCTACAAATAATTTAGCTTTCCCCAAGGAAAGCCTGATAGTTTCTGATCCCTCTCCCCCACAGCAATGCTTCACACACACACACAAATATCAAATTTATATCCACAACAAAACCATTGCTTCTCGATTTAATTTTAAGAGCAGGTCACAGCAACTCCTGGTTATTTTTCTATTTCCCCTTTTTGCAGTGCATCATCAGTTTTCAAGCACAGCAAAGGAATACGACTTGCAAATGTGCTACTATAAAACACAAATTGGCCTTCCCTGGAAAATAATCTCACAGCCATAAAGGAAAGCTACAATAATTGTCTGATCACCGTGTACCGAATGTCACAGCTATATAAACAACATGATGCTCTTTTCAAACCTAAATTATGTAGCATTCCTTCAGAGGAAAACATGGCAAGATCTGTCTTGTGGCCAGTGAGACTGCAAACATACATCTTGGGCGGCAGCGGGGAGGGGGGATATTAGGGGGCTTAAAGGGGAGAAAAGGAATACAGAATCCTGGCAAAACAAAAAAGAAGAACAAAGCTGTTGCAACGGAGCCAATGTAATCTATTTTAAGAACAAACCCTGCCTGTCTAAATCAAACTTGTCTGGGAAAATCCAAAGGCACCTTGGGGTTTTCTGATACATTCTAATGGGAAAGCTAGATGTTAATAAATTGTTAAGTATTTACAAAACAGAATAAAACAGCTGATGGGAATTGCAGTCTAAGGAGGGCACCAGGTTGGCAAAGGCTGGTGGTCAAGCAAATGAAAATCCAGTCAGACCAGATTCTACCTTTCTTCTTCAAACACTTTCCCCAAAAAGATAAACTTTTCCACACAAAAACTTTGGGTTAAAGCTTCCCTCCTCATCGCCTACTGAAATTAGAGCTGCACCAAACAGTTGCCTCTTCACCTCTGAGGTAAAATGCTGTACTTTGGGGGAACAGAAATGTGTCCCCTAAACCCCTCTGTTGTATGAATACCTACTTGTTGACATTCCTGCCCATTGCCACGATTTCAGTATTTATTTCAGCAAATTGCAGTATTTCAGTATTTCCACTGCAGTGTATCTTACCTGAGTCTTCTGCTGAGAGGGTCGGGGGCAGGGGGAACTGAAGTGAGCGTCAAAGACAGAAATCCCTTCTTTAGCTTGGTCTTACTTCATGCACTGAATTTATTTATCTATTCAATTTTATTTTAGAAGGTATTTAAAGTGCAGCCACGGGCTTCTCCAACAGCTGGGTGCTTGCTTTGGCCTCACAGGAGGCCTGAGAGAGCAATTTAAGGAGCCACACCTGTGGCCTGTAATACTAATGACCTGGTAGGGCTGCTGCAAGCTTTTTTCTCTCAGCACAGCCTTGGTACCTACAATAAAACAGCAAACTACAGAGCTGGGTAATGTTATATATCTCTGAGCCCCACCAACATGTGTGTGTGTGGGAAAAAGTGGATAGCAACAAAGGGGGTGTTTCAAACTACTGATTCTAAGCCCTAACCTTCAACAGAGACCTAATACAGTGGTACCTCGGGTTAAGTACTTAATTTGTTCCAGAGGTCCGTTCTTAACCTGAAACTGTTCTTAAGCTGAAGCACCACTTTAGCTAATGGGGCCTCCTGCTGCTGCCGCGCCACTGGGGCACGATTTCTGTTCTCATCCTGAAGCAAAGTTCTTAACCTGAAGCACTATTTCTGGGTTAGCTGAGTCTGTAACCTGAAGTGTATGTAACCTGAAGCGTATGTAACCCGAGGTACCATTGTACCTCCAGACAACTGTGGGGTTGTTGTTGTAAATCACTGGCATTCAGGTCAGCACTTCCATGAGCTAAACCAAGATGTCTGCTCTGAGACCTCCATCAACTTGCCTCACGGTCCACAGGTACTGCCACCGCCGCCGTTGCTGCTCGCCCCAGAGGAAGGTCCAGTCAGGCTCTCTGGCCCTCGTTTCCCTCTTCCCAGTCTCCCTCTGAGGAAGGGCCAAAGGGGGTCTGTCCACACAGCGAGGCATCTCGGCCAAGAGGGTGCCTGCACCACCCCCACTTTCCTGCAGCTGCTAAAAATTGTGCTCAAACCAGCTTTTACAAGAGCCATATTTTGGTTGACTGCGATGCGCGAACCAGACCAGTTGCTGTGTTGTGTTGTGTGCGACAAGGCCAAGCAGCGATCTCCCACATAGGAGCCAATTCTTAGAGGCTGAGGTTTTTTTGCCTCCCCTAAAATATTTGAGGGGGCACAAATATCAATCAACAGGCATTACCATTCAAATGGTGTGCATGCGCAGCATCATGTGATCGCTTATGTGGGTTGGGAATTACCTGTCCCCCCCCCAATATTTTATTAAAGTTGGCACCCCTGATTGCCCAGGTCCTATTCTAACCCTCTTAACTGCTTCCCCACTCTGGTTCCAGGGCCGATTCTCTTGATATGTCTTCAGACACAGAGACTAAAGCATTTTAGCAGACGTGAAAAATATTTTTGAAGGTAAATGTTGGTTTTGTTAATTGGCCAAGGACATCTTCCTGCAGGAGTCAAACAATATTGGATGATGGTAATTAACACTCTCGATGTCGTCCAATTACCGTTGACACTTCCTCTGTTATTAGGCTTGTTAGAGGCATTGAAAAGCACAGTCAACCTGGAAGACTTCACACGCAGATGCTCTTTTGCCGTTTCCAGGGCCGCTGTTTTTGCTGAACAGAGTGCCTAAGGTTAATAAAAATTAGTGCCTAAATAAGATGTGGATTCTTATATAGTGCCTGAGTAAGATATGGAATTAATTACATTAATTACTTATCAGTGTACCACTAAGCCATCTGCAACATATGGATGCCATTTATTTGCTGTACGATGCACTGTCCTTATGCGCCAATATATGCTCCTGCTGACCATTTCCATAAATTCCTATTTGGATATCATATGGCTCCTAGTTTGATGATGACAATGGTTCAGTGAGCCTGGCTGTTAACCAGAAGGTTGGTGGTTCAAGCCCACCCAGGGATGGTTGTGGGCAGGATTCCTGCACTGCAGAGGGTTGGACTAGATGACCCTTAAGCACCTTTCCAACTCTGCAATTCTAACAATGTTCAAATGACTTTTATGGAATTGTGCTACTGTCTGGAATTCTCCATTTTTGCAAGCAATTTTCTCTGACAGAATGCATTTTGTATGTTATTTTCATACATATGTGCACACACGCACAGACACACACAGATTTGGAGAAGTGTGAATTTTGAAGGATGGCTGTATAGTTTTGGAAAGCGCAGATTAGGTAATTGTTATGTACTGAGCTTGGATCTTAGAACAATAGGCAGGTAGGATCCTGGAAGGCAGCAATCTGATTGGCCTGCAGGAGCCGCCCAATCCTGCTCCAGGAGGAAGTGAATCAGCAACCTGATTGGCCTGCAAGAGCAGCCCAATCAGGCTCCAGGAGGGGAGTTGAATCAGCCAATCACGTGGGACCCGTTGTGTAAATAATGTATATATAGCCAGAGGTTTTTTTGGGGGGGAAAGACACTCACTCACTCACTCACTGTTTACCATGAGCTGAAAAAAAGAGCATGAAATCAACACTCAACTCTGAGTATATTTCAGTAATAATAATAATAAATAAATAACAATAATAATAATACAGTGGTACCTCGGGTTACATATGCTTCAGGTTACAGACTCCGCTAACCCAGAAATAGTACCTCGGGTTAAGAATTTTGCTTTAGGATGAGAACAGAAACTGTGTGGCAGTGGCGTGGCGGCAGCGGGAGGCCACCCGCTAAAGTAGTACCTCAGGTTAAGAACAGTTTCAGGTTAAGAACAGACCTCCAGAACGAATTAAGTTCTTAACCCGAGGTACCACTGTATTTGTATCCTGCCTATCTGACTAGGTTGCCCCAGCCACTCTGGGGTGGAAAATTTATTTATGCAAATAAATTAAGTGCCAATAATGAACCCAGGACACACTCTCCCCTGCAAAAATGAACAAATAGTCCACTTGGTACTGCTAAAATCACTAAATAGCTTTTTTTTGGGGGGGGGGGACATGTGAAATGGACCCGCAGCTGAACTAGCTTCAAAAGACAAGGCAGCCTGGCATTTGTTTCTCTCAATGCCAACATCACCTACTTCTCCAGGCAGGGTGTCAAAAAATGCAAAAGCTCTGGATTCTTGCAGCCCATCTTTGTCTCAGTAGCTTAAAGAAGAGAAATACCACTGCGTCTGGAGCCCTAGTATGCAGCCTGCAAGACCAACAACTGCCTTTATTTGCCTGAAGACAGCAGAGCGGTTTCCGCACGCTGCTTGGAAACACAAATACCTTCTGCTGTTTAGGAGCTATATATGGGGAGGCCTATGCTAACATCAGTTTCAAGTCCCTTGGCCACAGGAAATCTATTGTGAAGCCATTATATTTTGTGCTGCAAGACTCTGAGTGTTGAATTGGTGCTGTCAGCCCTGTAGCTTGCAAGGCTCTGTTGCCTGGAGGCAAATGCTGTCACTGTGCACCCCAACCCCCCGACAAGCACATGCCTACTCATCGACTAGCTCCAGCTACTTCCCGCTGGGGAGCGCGACCCTTTCAGAAGCAGCTCTGCTGTTGTTGTTACGACTCTCATGTGCAAAGCAGCCACACAGAGATGCCTTTGGTTGTGTCTGTCATTTTAAGAGATGGAGCTGATTTCCTGCACAGCTTTAAACGGCTCATGTCTTGCTCCTATTACCTTCTTGGGGTATGCAAGGCAAAGAGGTTCCAGAGAAGCAAGCAAGCAAGCAGCTGATATTCAAATACCTAGAGTGGGTGAGATGATGGGCAACAGGAGGTTGAATGCTGGTGTACCAAGGCGGTTGTAGTTTTGGAATCTGAATGAGTAGTTAACCGAAAACTGTTTTGTTTCTGTTTTTAAAGCCTTACATAAATGGTTTTGCGGGACTTTCCCCTCCTCCACTGCTGGCTAAAGTTCACAGAGCAATAAAATGCCAAGGTGGGGAATCCAATGAAGACTGCATCGCCCTACCAATATTTTTTGGGTGGGGGGGGTGGAATACCACAGGACACTGGTCTTTAACTGATAGGTTGGGACCGCCGGTGGGTCAGGGCCTGATTCAAGGTGGATCACAACAGAAGCACTAAACACCATGCAAATAAATGGCAAAATATTAGGAAATGGGTCCCCAAATGCATGTTTGGGTTAAAAGTGGGCCCTGAGTCTGAAAAGGTTGAAGTCTACTGTGACAGGACATGTGTTATCCCAATCTGGTAACACTTGGTCAAAAAGCACCCAAATGGCAGAAATCAATAGATTTCTGGGGATATATTCCCACCCCCAGGCCCTTTTTTGGGCACCTAAATCTGTACTGCTGGGTAAGTGCAGGCAGATAGCGATCCAATTCTAACATTTAAACACTCCAGATATACGAAGAACATGATACGTTGACGGAGTCCAAATTTTACCAGCCCTTACAGTGTGTTGAGTCCCACTGCCCGGAAGTTAACTCCCCCAGGAGAATGCCAAGGATCGCAGACTTAGCAAAGAAACAGAGGCTGGATCTACACTGACCTGTTTCACGTTATTAGATATATCGTTCTAAAATGTCACAGGGCATACTGGTGAATTAAAAGAGTTTCATACCTTGTTTTTTTTCGTAAAAATGCTGTTTCTTTACTGCCGGTTCCTGGTTGCTCTGCAGCTCCCTCTGGTGTCACATATTAATAATGCATTATTAATGCTAAAAGCAGAACATAATGTGTCCATCTATAATCCTTAAACCTTCCTTAATGTTATAAACCATGAGTGTAGATCTGCCCAGAGACAAGACTAAAACATTTGTATTACTTTTTAGCTGGATACCTAGTAGGCGTTACCCTCCACTGCATGTAGAGTTAGGAGGAGCTAGACTGCACACTGGACCTATGATCAGCATGCTATGGGGATGCTATTGTGTTCTGCCTCTTGAAGAGATGATACAACACACTTTGTTTAGCTTCACCATTTGCCTAATGGCTCGTGGCTACTAGGAGGGGAAAACACATTCTGTTTGGGTGTGGGCAGAAGAAAACAGATTGGCAGCTTGAATGTAGCCAGTAGAATAGAAAAGACTGGTGCTTGTGGACTGTTGTTGTTTCAGGCTAATTGGTAATAATAATAATAATAATAATAATAATATAATGGTAAATAATTTATTATTTGTACCTCACCCATCTGACTAGGTTGCTCCAGCCACTCTGGGCGGCTTCCAATGTATACAAAACATAATAAAACATTACACATTAAAAAGCTTTCCTATATAGGCCTGCCTTCAGATGCCTTCTAAAGGCATGTAGTTGCTAATCTCCTTGACATCTGATGGGAGGGTGTTCCACAGGGTGGGCGCCACAACTGAGAAGGCCCTCTGCCTGGTTCTCTGTAACTTTGCTTCTCATAGTCAGAGAACCACCAGAAGGCCCTCAGAGCTGGATCTCTGTGTTCGGGCTGAACGATGGGGGTGGAAACGCTCCTTCAGGTATACTGGGCTGAGGCTATTTAGGGCTTTAAAGGTCAGTGCCTGCCAACACTTTGAATTGTGCTCGGAAACATTGGGAGTCAATGTAGGTCTTTCAGGACCGGTGTTATATGGTACCGTCAGCCACTCCCAAGAAGCAACGAAGTTCAGCTTTCAAAGGGATGCCCTAGCTTTGAAATGGGGAACCTCAGACCTGAGAGTTGGATGTGGGTCTCCAGGCCTCCCTTGGGAATCTACCCAGGCTTACCTGTAGCTCCTCTCACGAAGCCACACCTCTCACCGCCCCTGCTTTGTGTCCTCTTTAAGTGTTTAGGTCTGGCTGGAACATGTCCTTGAACTTGGATAATGTCTCTTGCTTGCTTGGATGGATGGAGGACGGAGAGGGTTGCTTCTTCTTGGTTCTGCCTGTTACTGGGATGTCCCCTCGGGCTGAAATGCCTCCCCCCCCCCAATCTAAGCTGTAGCTTTGGGAATACATCTGCTATCCTTAACGCTAGCACAGTTGTCCAGAACATTTTTCACATCCTCTTTGCTCAGCTTGCATCCAGATTATCACAGTTGCCCTGTAAGTTTCCAGCACATTCCTTTTATGTGAAAAGCAGCCCTGTTGTTGGGGGTGGGTGGGGAGGGGAGAGAAGGATGCTCTGGAACGTCCTACTGCTCGAGAAGCGGGGGAGTGTGAAACGCTGTCAAAAAAGAGAATAAAATTGGTTGGTCTTGGCAACCCATAGCAGACGAACTGAGCCGTTTTGCTCGTCTGGAGCTCTGCGCCTTGCATTCATTTGGAAGCTAAACAAAATTCGGCTGTGCTAGACAAGGCACGCCTTGGTTTGTCACTGAGCCTCAGCTTTGGTTGGCTCTGTTAATGCAAAGACATTGCTTTTAATACAGGGAAGGCTGTAGATTTCCCCCTTACAGGCTTCATACAAGCAGTGGGGTGCGAGGATTAACTGATCTCACAATTAGAGCAGCACCAACGGCAGCCCTTGTAATCTCCGCTTGACTGAATGTCACACATAAATAATGTATGCGCATTTCCCTGCTCTTGTGTCATTTGCAGCCCGAGAGTAAGGAAAAAAAGGCATTCAGGACATTTCTTTCAACGGTTTTCTTTTTTATCCTTTCAATCAGGACAATGCGGCAGCATTCCAGCAGGCTTAACAATAACCAGGGGCATCTATATTTGGACCTTTGGCTTAATTCAGGCAGGGAGCGAGAGGGTGAGAACAAATTAGCACTTCAGAGTCTCTGCCAGCTTGGGTTTTATGAGATCGACTTACCTTCAGGGATTTCACGTAATATCCTTATGACTGTCGGAATAATAAGCTGACGGACGTGGCTGACTTCTCTGTATCATTCTGCACAGCGATGCCAGTTCAGGAGACCCAATAATTGGCTCCCTTCTTATATGGGACGCTTGTCAGAATGCATTTGTTGTTCCAGGAATCTAATCTAAATAGCTTTATGAAGAGTGAATCCGCCTGGATCCGAGGGACAGGAGCATAGACAC